GAAAATACATGATTCTATCTTGCTATCTAAATTTTATTGTATCATTATAACAAATAATTTGAATATTCTTACGATCGACTTGAACGGCGGAATGCACTTTTATTAATTTCTTGGTTGATCAGGCAAGGACATAAGTGATCCAAGGGTCCTTAGTGATGTTGGGGACATGCCAATTCAAGAGCTGCACGAAGCTCAAATTGATGATGACAGATTGATGCAGTGCATCACTGATTGTGTCACAGAAGTCATGAATGTTGTAAGATTTCCATTTCACTCTTCGTAATTGAAATTTTTTATCTCGACGAAATATTCTTAATAACGTACACGTATTCAAATATAGTTTCCGTCAGTGTTGTTGTGATTCGACCATACATTATCGATTGATATGCATAATACCATATACTGAAAAATGTCGCGTTAATTCTAAAAACAATATAAGCAAAATTACGACACTTGACCTTCATATTATTACAATTGATGTAATAATTTTGCAGAGTCCAATGAGGCCTTTGGTCCTTGGTGGGGACCACTCGATTTCTTTCCCGGTGGTGAGAGCCGTGTCCGAGAAGCTTGGAGGCCCAGTTGACATCCTCCACATTGACGCTCATCCGGATCTCTATGAGGCCTTCATGGGGGACCCTTACTCTCATGCATCACCCTTTGCAAGAATCATGGAGAATGGCTATTGCAGAAACCTCGTGCAGGTAATCATCATCATATACCATATATATATATTGTTATTAATTTCGTAAATGTTACACATTAATTTTACTAGTAATTATGAAATGCCGAAGGTTGGGATCAGATCAATCAACTCAGAAGGGCGTCAACAAGCGCAGAGATTCGGCGTGAAGCAGATCGAAATGCGAAACTACGAAGATCACAGGGAGGAACTGGAAAATCTGGTCTCTTTCATACAACACAATTAATCTCTTTCAATTACTTTCTTTCTTCTTCCTATATATCAAACGTTACGTTTTTGTTATATAAAAAAGAGTGTAATAATGTTATAATATTGTATTAAACGAATGCAGACATTAGGTGTAGGTGACGATGTGAAAGGAGTGTACGTATCGATCGACTGCGACGGTATGGACCCCGCATTTGCTCCGGGAGTGTCCCACCGAGAGCCAGGTTGGTGTAGAATAATAATAATAATAATAATAATCTATACTTATATTAAAAGGTATACCATTTACCAGATTTAGTATAAAGAGAAGTCAACAACATTTATTGCATTACTATTTTCGTATTATACAATCTATACTTATATAAAAGGAGATTCTATTTACTACATTTACTATCCTGAAAAGTCAACTGCATTAAATGCCATTACTATTTTGGTATTATAATATTTTATTTATTTAATTGATTTATTTTAAAAAGGTAAGTATAACAAAAAAAAATTTAATAATAAAGAAATCAAATACCAAATAAAAATGTACACTTTGACTTATTTGATTATATTTGGTGTTTGATTATACCAAATGTATTCCTATTTAGTATATACATTAAATACTTACTAAAGTATTTATTTATTTTATTTGTCAAAGTTAAGTATAGATTTGTTTATATTATCAAATCATAAAAAAATATTAAATCTATATTGTAAAAAAAAAAATCATATAATTTTATAACAATTCTACTACACTGTTTAACAATATTTCTTTTTTATTATAATAAAATAATAATCTATCATTATATAAAAAGAATAACCTTTTTACAAATTTAGAAACTTTTTCCCGCCAAAATCATTAAATATATCCTATATATAGTAATTGTTGGAAAAATCTGAATAGGCAAAAAAATCCGCTCATTAATTGTGTAAAGATTTGTTTCTCTTTTTCCTGTTTTTAGTATAAATCTACACGAGCTTATCTCTTCTGTTACAAAATCTCATTACATACGATCTTAAGTGTTTAAAAAATCTCATCTCTTATCTCTATAGATTTAAAAAAAAATAAAATAAAATAGAAATCAATTCATAATTACTACTAGAAATCCATTATCTTTAAAAAGAAAAAATAAAATAAAATAAAAATTAATTCATAATTACTACTAGAAATCCATTATCTACTTTAAGAAGCTAATTTTCATCGGTCTAATTACTAATATTTTTACAAATATTCTAAGCTAATCATACAAAAAAGTATAATAATATTTTTGAAATGGTGTGTAATCAAATTTTTTTATATTCTCTTATACAAAATCATTTTACATTGTTTGACCCCGAATCTTTAATTTATAATTATTTAGTATTGTTTATCCTCCTCTTTTATTTATAATTATTTTTTTTTTCTTCCTCTTTTTAAATACGATCAATAGTAGTTTTCACTTCCGCCATTGACTCAAACTCGAGGTCTATTTATAATATTGTTAATTTAAAATTGTTCTCGTGCGGGGTACACACTAGTAACCCTTTATATAAGACTCTCAAAACTAATAACCCTAGCTTGTTCTCTAAGCTAACTACTAATTATTAAATAATAATAATAATAATAATAATAATAATAATAATAATTATTCTACACCACAGGTGGACTGTCCTTCAGGGATGTGATGAACATTGTCCAAAACCTAAAGGGTGACATTGTTGGTGCTGACGTGGTGGAGTTCAACCCGCAGCTTGACCCAGCCGAGGGCCAGGGCCTTACCATGTTTGTTGCCGCCAAAGTTGTCCGAGAAGTTGCCGCCAAAATGTCCAAGTGAATGAATAAACCTGCACCATTATTTACCGCCGGATAATAATAATATAATAAATAAAAATGTGGGTGAATTTCGGTTTTTACCACGCGGGCGGCTGTTTGCTTTTGTATCGAATATTATTATGTGTGTTGTTGTATTCAACTGCTTTTGCATTGTACCCTTTGGGAATAAATTTGGATTTTCTGCTTGGTTTGAATAATTGGATGGTGAAGGTTGGTGATGAAGATGGCCAACAATGTTTACTTCTAAATTCCAATTTATTTAAGTTTGTGATTAATATAGCTGTGGATAGATATACTATAAGGTATATCTAATTATTATGTGAAAAATAATAATAAATAAATAAAATCAGGAAACTGACCCCGCCGGCTTGGGTTACTGTTTTCAGATCTTTGGTGTGAATAAGCGGTTGTAGTGGCTAGTTGTTTGGGAGAGAGGGAGAGCATTTTTCTACTATAATTAGTATTTTAATGTTTTTTTTCGTATTATTTTTCTACTATAATTAGTATTTTAATGTTTGTTTTGTATTATTATTATTATTATTATTGTTGGTGGTGTTGTTGTTTTTGTTGTGTGGGTTGCTTTGTATTCAGTCACTACGATTCTCCCGTGTAGGAGTTAGGGTTGTGTTATTGTTATTTTCGTGTCGGTTTGTAGTTTCCGACTTCGGCTACTAGATGTCGTTCACCTAATTTTAGTGTAGTTGTTTTAATTCAGCTATTTTAGTTGATTTCTAGTTTGTATTTTTTTCTTCCTATAACATANATTTTTGTCCAAAAACCATAGTTCTAATAAAAGATTTCGTTTTTAAAATATGATAGTAATTAATTTTCAATTGGTGGTATAAGATTTAAAATATGATAGTAATTATATGTGTGGGGATTTTAAGAAACAAGAGTACAACAAACATATAGTTAATATTAGTGCATAACATATGATAGATAATGGTTTTTTTTTTTTTTCAATGAGTTGCAAAGAGTAATTAAACAGGATAATTAATGGAAAGAAAAATAATAGTATTGGAAATCGCCATTTTTTTTAGGCCTTCTCCGATGCTGCGCCACTTCCTTCATTTCTCCAGAGTGGTCTGTTAATTTTTCCTCCACCCATTCTAAAGATGTGAACAGTGCACCACTGTAACACCTTGAATATTATTTATTATTTATGGAATTCGACTTTATTTCCATAAATAGCTAGTTTCATTATTTGATGCATTTATTTATTTTTATTTGCATTAAATCGAGTAATTAATATTAAATCTAAGTCATGGAGAATTTATACGATTTTTAATTATTAAAATCGAATTTATTTAGCCCAAGTTTTATTTTAAAAAGTAAAACCGAGCCTTGAAAATAATCAGAAATTTCATTAAGTTGGGCCGAAGCCCAATAAACAAGCGAGTCCATTTTATCCGGCCCATTTTATTATTCTAATCGGCCCATTTATTTATTTTGGCTCATTTTAGTAAATCGGGCCCATGTTCGATTTTAATGATAAATTGAGCCTATGTCAATTTTTAACTTCGGGCCCATTATTATTTAAATCGACCGACTAAATTATTTAGTCCAAGTCCCACTATATGTAATTGGGCCGAACATTTAAAATCCTAAGTCTATGTTCGAACACTAGCCCTATTCTATTAAATCCTAAGCCCGGTTTTGAGCCCATTAATGCTATAAAACCCTAGTCCTCATCACTCCAATATAAATTGAACACTCCTTCATCTCCCACCTCATTTCATCTACTCCCAAACCCTAGATCTACACTCCATTGTCACTTCAGGCTCAAGATCCATTATCATCCCTTAGCAAAAATCAAGAAAACAAGTTCAATTCTAGCTCATTAGCTCTTTCTCTCCACAAATCCGGTGAGTTTCCCATTTTCCGGCCAAGATACACAATTCCGGCGAGTTCTCAAGCCAATCTTCCGACCGCCGGCGAGCCCAGCCCCAGCCACGCCGGCAAACGCTCGCCAGGTCCCAGCCAGCTCGCCTCTGTCCGCCCAGGTCGCAGCTAGCTCGCCAGGGTCCTAGCAGGCCCGAGCCGTGTAGCCCTGCACCGTTCCTATCGTACATCGGTGCACCAGCTCCGCTCGTTGTACCATCTGTGCCCGTACAGTACCGTCATGCACCAGCGTGACGTCCGTACCGGCAGCGTCTTCCCGCGACTGTACGCTGCTTCCGTCCCAGCTGCACCAGCGCCCGTGCAGATCTGCACGTTCCTGCACGCGAGCGTCCGTACCCCGGCGACCAGCTCCCGTCCAGTCCGCGCCAAGCACACCCGAGCCGACCACCTATGTGTCCCATTTTTATTGCTATTTTCTTCATATTTTTCTTGTTTTTCGTGTTTTTCCGGTTGTGGTGGTTACAGGTTCTAGACGAGCAAAGAGGTATTCTGTTCCGGTTCCTAGGAGTTTCAACCCGTGGGTTTTAGCCTTTCGTAATTGTCTCAAATACAAGAATGATTGAATTTATATACTAGGGCCCCAAGGATTGGCAGTTGTTATACCCCATAACTACATTCTTTTTTTTTAGATTTTTTTTTTTTTTTTTTTTAGGCTTTTCAACTCCACCAATTATTCTACAACCTCCAACATCATTATTCATTATTTTCGACTACGAGACATCAAACATTGAATTTCAACATCAAGTCACTAAATATAGCCAACATTAATCAAGATAATCATAAGCACATCTCAGCAACACAATTCGAGTCAAAATCAACTCAACATAAATAAATCACTGAAATATCAACTCTCATGCTCTTGATCCCAAAACAAAAACACCTTAAGATATTTAACCGAATGTAAATAACTCAAGTAAGTTAAACTAGCACAATAAATCCAAACTGGCCATCATATCATCATCGCAAAATTCGACATACAAGTGACTCATACTCAAACAAATCAAGAGAATATGTGGCACTCTAAGATGCAACTCAACAACTCAAATCACAAATATCTTTCTCACTAATGGGTCTCCCCAAACTTAGAGTTTGCACAAATAAAAGAGCATAAAAAATGAGGTAAAAGAAAAGAGTTCACCATGGGTTGCTGTTGTAAGTATTTTTACTGGAGTAGAATCGAAAGATTCGTTCCCCGGGTTATATCACAAGGAAGGTTAGCCGGATTTAGTTGTACGATTATTCAATCCCAAGAAAGAGAAAAAAAATTCCTAAACACTCTAATTCAAAAGTTTGGCATTTTCAATTATCAAGTAATGACTCTAGAGCTAAGTAAAATACGATTTCAATAGCAAACAAATTCACTTAATAATCAAAGAGCTAGTGAATCGGGCAATCAATTGCTTTCGGTTCTAGAAGTATAACTCTTATGGCCCGGCTGTTAGTGTTAGATGGAGGTGTGGATGGACACACCTGATTTTCGAGTTCCACATTTACATTATTGAAAATTAGTGATTTTCTAAATTTTTATGATTGTTATTGTTATAATAAATCAACATTTCACCTTTATTGAATCCGATCTTTTCATTCATATATCTTAAAATATTTAATAAATTCTTAACATTATTATCAAGTATATAAGTGTCAACAATATCTATTTTAATCATGAGGTATAAATAGTTGTTGCATGTAAATAAAATTCTAATCTCTAGAGTTGCACAAATATATAATACGTATGCAGTAGGGAAGAGAAAAATAAATCAATCAATTATCACAGATTAACATACACAACTTATACGTATATAAAACAGTTAAAGTTTAATACAATAATTCCGATAAAACAGATAAAAAAAATATTCATACACACAACAGATAAAACGTTTAATAAACAGATAAAACACGATGAAAAATGACAGATAAAATAGATAAAAATATATAATCGATATTTTAATAACAGATAAAACACGATGAAACATGATAGGTAAAACAAATAAAAATATACAAACAGATAATCGATATTTAATACACGATGAAACAGATAAAATATCAATACACATCACAGAGAAGATAAATATATATACAATCGCAGCTATATATACAAAATGATAAATAAATAATCTATCAATAAAGCAGTACAGATATATACACGCATCACGGGTAAAATATTTATGTAACAATCCCAACAGTATTTTCAACAACAAACAGTATATAATATATATACATGCGCCAGTATTTTGGAGATAACACATTTTTTTTTAATCACCCACCTCTTTTCTACTTGGTATTAGGGGATTGTGTGCTCTCAGACTTCTACTACGGACAGCTGCTCCCCAAGATGTTGTTGATCAACGCGGAGTGAAAATTGAGTTGAGAATTGTTTCGTGGTTTTGCGTTGTTTGAACTAAAAAGATGACATTTGAGTTTTGTGTGAAGGAGGTATAAAATGGTTAAGATAAATTGTGTCTCATGGTTGTGAACAGTGTATCAAAGGGTTAAGTAGAATAGATTGTGTGTGGATTGTGTAGAAAGATTGTCTGCAACATGAAGATTACACGCCAAAGGCAATGATTACACTGATAACGTGAATTTTATTGGGGGTGGATGTTTGAGAAGAGTAAGAGACGCATTCGTAAATGGAAAAATGTGATGTTCTGAAATCCGTGAATTTGATTGGGGGATTGGGTCGGCGTATCTGATCTCCGTCTTTCTTTTTTTTTTTTATGAGATCTAACGCACCTAAAAAAGACAGTTTTGCCCTTCTCAATTTTTAATTTTTTTTTTCTGCTGGCCGGCCGCTAATTGCGGCTGCAACTCGCGCGGCCGCACCGTAATTTCGGCCGCCTCTTGGCCAGCCGGCCCTTAATTGCGGCCGGCCCAATTTTTTTTTTATAATTTAAATATTTTAAAAACTATATAATTTTTTAATATTATCCAAATATCAAATAAACCAATTAATAATTATTAAAGCAAGTTGCTACGATATTTATAGCCATTCCTTGCCTTTCATTGGACTTTCTCATCCAATGTGGGATAATTGTAAATAAAATGTTTCAGTCTCCCACCTTTTATAGCCATTTTTTGACTTTATTATTGTGTTTGTAA